TCTTTTCCTCCAATATTTTACTTTGAGGAATAGAAGAATGGGTTTTGTGGATATCTTGCAATGCCGTATTCAAATTTGGTGTTGAACTTTCTGATGTTATAAAAGTGTATTTATCTTTATTTGATCGTTTACAATGTTACTGAACGCCATAGTTGCAGTCGATGTGTAGATGATCACTTTCTGCTTTTTGTTGTCCTGCCAAATGTCTTGGACAAAGTATCCTTTCTCTTCATTCCAGAACAATTTCTCAAATGAAGTTGATAGGTCCTGTGTCTTTTTCTCAGTAATTCGGCTCTTTTAGTATATTTGTAATACTTCTCTTCCATCATAGCAGCCGCCAACAATCCGTGGTGGCCTTGAATTTGTGTGAATCCATAGTACTGCAGTTGGACACTTAAGGAAGTCCATGCGTCGCTGCTTAAATCGAATAGTCTGGCTTTATAATATTCTTCCAATCTCGATACAACAAGAAATTAATCCAATTTTCTAATTCGTTGTTTGACTGTTTTGTCTTTAATTAATCCAGTTGTTTGTGTCATTTGTGTAGTAGTAATACAAATACAAAACAACACCAATGGAATCACGCTGTGGTTCAACAAACCCCACATATGTCCCATCTTACCAGCTGTATGTCGTTGCGAAAAATTCACCGTCTCGAAGCTCCGCTTTTGCAATCCATTTCAAGAACTTTTCTGTAACTACAAAACTTAGTTTTCGTATTCAAAACATCAATTTTATTGACGTGAATTGTAATATTTTCGGACAACAGTTTTATAAGTTTTTTTATTTTTTATTTTTCATTTTTTAAAATATTTTAAATGTTTATAACATATAACAATAAATATTAATTTTTATTATAATTTAAAACAAGCACGATTTTTCCACTGACTTGTTTTTTATAGTACTTTTATATAATATTCTTTAACATTTTATATATAAAATTAATAATTATAATCATAATTGTTAATTTAAAATAATTTAATTGTGATCTATATTAAAACACACCAACAAACAAACTGACTGACAGTTTTTGAGTAAATTAATTACTTATAAATATGGTAAATATATGATTCAATAATAGCTTTGATAAAATAAACAAAAAGACTAAACAATAAAATGAAGATAATTGAAGTTGTTTTGTTTCAAACACCCTGTTAATGCATCAATGATGAACAGAGTAGTTTCACTTGTTTTCTTGTGAATAATAACTCTTCTGTTCTATCAAAGTATTGCACGTTTATAAAGCAAACTAATTTTATCAACAACACCAAGATTCGTGATTCAAAGTTTTGTTATAGTCCATTTCATTATATTTCTATATTAATTTGGTATATTTAACCACTATATGATGTTTGAAAGTGATGAAAAGCAACAATAAATCAAATTTAACAAGTGATCGCAAGGTGACAGCTATGTTTTAATTAATTTTACTTAACTTTGTTAATCGAAGTTTGGTTAATAACAAATTTTATTTCAATAAGTTAAATTATTATTTCATCTTTATTAAACAATTTATAATATTTTATAATATTATCAATTATAATTAATAGTTTTATTTTATATGGTATAAATATTATATTAATAAACCATTTATTTGTATACTATACATTTTAATATTTTATAGTTTTGTTGTTAACTGTCGTTTTAACATTAAAAATGACAGCGGCAAAAAGTCACCATCTGTAAAGAAAAGGTTTTGGAGATCGCAAAAACAAACAATACTATGAATTTTACTAAAACTACTTTATTTTTGGCACAAAAACAAATAATAATACCTTTTTTATTTTAATATGCATTTTTGGGACAAGTTCCAAATTTTTCCCTGTTCCGTGATAGACCCTGTTTCAATAAACAATTCAAGTAAAAATAAAAGAATTAAAAACTAAAAATACCAAAAATATGTATTTTTTATAATAATTCATAAACAGTTAAAAACAATTTTTAATAAAAAATATGAAAAAAATGAAAAAATCAATTATAACATAAAATAAAAATAATAAAATAATAATAATAATAATTATAAAAAATAAGTTTTAAATATAAGTTATGCGAATGTTTTGGATAAAAATTACAATTTCCTCCAAATTGCATTCTAGAAGCAAGAAAAATTGTTTTTTATTTTTTCAAACTTGTTTTTGGCAACAAAATCTTAAAATTGTCGTTAATATTAATCGGTAGTTATCTATATTATCATGTTGAAATTCTATGTTTCATGCTCCGACTATTACATCTTCATCATCTTCGTCGTCAACTACAAGCGATTAGTTGTTTTCATTATCACCTTTTCTTATAACGACGCGTTCAAATGCATTTGAATCAAATCTTGGTGTTCATTTCACTTGTAAATAACGACTAATACTAATTGGTCCAACATACATTGGATTTGCTGTTATTCCCACTCCACGAACATTAAAAAGGCAGTTTGGTGTCAAGAAAGTTTGTCTGAGAAATAGAAACTGACAAAAAGCATCATATTCACTTTTAATATTTTCTATGAAGTGTAAATTTTCCCCTTTTTTCTTATTTCTATTTCCCTGAATTTATTTGAAGAATTAACAATGAAATTGTTTATTTCTTCTAAAAAAACAAATTGAAATCATCCAATGGAATGGCATCATAATTTATATTAGACGTATTGGAATATCTATCAACAGTGAACGAAAAGTCTTCATCTGTAGTGAAAAAAGTGGTTTTTCCCATGAAATTTTTCCATGTTTATTCATGTATTTAACCATAATATTTTAAAATTAAAAAATAGTTTATTTTTTATCAAGTTTGTCTGTAATAAAAACGACACATATTTTATTTAAAAAATTTTCATCAATTAATTGTTATTATTAAAAAGTTGTAAAAATATTTAAATATTTTGAATTATATCTTGATTGTATAAATAAATAAAGATGATTAATAATAATTATAAAAGTGACCTTCTAAATTGTCACGAATTAAGTAATTATAAGATCTTTTGGTTGAATTAATTATTTTTTTTTGTAAAACAGCATTTTACTTTCCTCTTTACCAAATAACAAAAAAAAATTCTAGAACTTTAAAATGGTAAATAACATTATCATTTTTGAAAAACAAAAAATAAATGACAAAACACCATTATTTATACCACATGATATTATGAAAAAAAATATAAAACGATAATTATATTAAACATGATGTTGTTTTTAAATTACTCTCAAATATAATAGTAATATTTTTTGTGTTGATTTAATTGTATACCAAAACCGTTCAATTTTATAATTCGTGTGTAAATAACACAAATTCAAAGCAGCTACTCTGATATTTGTGTGTTTTCAATTCAATGAATATTTTTTATTTTGACTGATTATTATCATATTATTAATAATCGTTTTCATTTATAAAATAATCTAAAGATAAGTTTTATTGTTTTTTTGAAAATTATATGGTTTACCTTATTCGAAAAATACATTGTTTGTTTTGTATTATTGTAAATGTTAATGAAAATACAATTTGATTGATTCATTGACACTTTTTAAAAAGAAATAAATAAACAAATCAAAACCTATGTTAATAATTCATATTCACCTATGTTTTAAAAAAATATATATCAATTGTAAAAATAGTAAATTTTATGTTAAAATCACTTAAGTTATCTAATAATAATTTTTGTTATTTTGAAGTATCTTCTGTCTTAACACGTATTAAAATTTGTGAATATTGTTATTTAATTCAACTTTGTTACACAACATTTCAAGTGTTTTTTTTACCTTTCAAACATTGTTTTTAAAAACTATAATTTTACACAATATAATGATAATTTGATCACACAAAAAAATTGTTTAAATTAATAACTATAGTTTTAACAATTTTTAAAAACATTTTTACTTTAAAAAACCTTTTAACTTTTTTGTTGACAGTATGCTAAAACTTAAAATGAACTGACACGTATTAGAGATTGCCACGGAGTTGTTTAAAAACTTAATCTTAGCTGACCACGGTGTTTTAGAACTTGGTTTTAAAACTCTTTGTTGTATCTTTTACACGATTTATAAACATAATAGTAGTACAAATAGTGGAAAAACCAGGGACCAGACTAATTTTAGTTATTGAATATTAAGCGGATTATATACAATAAAACGGGCATATATATAAATAAATGTGTATCTTTCTTATTATTTGGTCTTAAAAACGGTTATTTTTAGGGATGAAAAAAAATGAATGTGTTGTATAAAGTTTGAATGAACAATAGCTTAATGTAAGTTATAATAATAAGTTTATTATTATTTATTATTATTTAATTATAAAATATTATTCTTTTGTTCAATTTTGTTTAACTTCAACACAACCATTCAATTAAATCGTTCATTCATTTTTTCAAAGAAAATGTCGTAGTCTTCTCTATTCATTCGGTTGATTTGATGAGTTACTTTTCGTTCAGCATCAAAAGTGGCTTACGCAATAAATAAAATTAAAGAAAATAATAAATAAATTATTTGAATGTTAGACATTCAGTAAATGATTGATGATTATTAAACTTATTAAACAATGGAATATAAATCAATATAAAAAACAAACTTTACTTTGGCTCTGCTGGGCATTAACAAATGAAACAACTCTGAATGATTAATTAAGAGTTTCATATTTTATAGTTTTTACAATTTTATTTAAAAAATGGTGTGTTTATTAATACTTGGTCCCCGGTTTTAGAAAATAAACCAACATATCCTCCAAAACCCCGATTATTTATTTGTTTCTTCTGACAAGAAAACTTTATACCTAAAATAAAACAACTTAATTTAGTCTGGTCCCTGGTTTATGATTTGGTCCCTGGTTTTTCCTCTATCTGTATTATTATTCATAATTTTAATAAAAGAACGAATAATAAAAAATACACATAAAAAGCAAAGATGGTTAGACATAAGATCAATGGAAGCTATTTTTTTCAAAAATTTTAATAACAAACCGATTTGATAATACTTTTGTCTAACCATGAAATTAATTACTCAAAATCTCAAAAATTGGTGTTACCAATGATATTCACAATTTTAATCATGTTAATTTTTACAACCAGGGGATATCAATGTGATTGTAATACTACTGTGGTTAATAACGTTGACAGCTTTATACCGTCAAATTGTCTTGTGCATTTGAACACTATTTGCTTTTCTACGGACTTTGGCTTTGGCAAAGATATTGTTGATTTTTATAATATAATTATTATTCAAAACATTATATTATATTCTTCTAATAATGAAATAGTTTGGTATAATATACTAAATATTACTACCGCTTCAAGTAAATCTTTATCATTGTTTACAGCGTTGCATTCTATTAATAAATTTGTCATTGGGTCAGAAGCATCAATAAATGTGCTTCAAAATGCAACAAAAATTGGGAAAATGTCAATTGCTGGAAATCTTTTTTTAATTGAGCCGGAATTAAACAAACCATCAGTTCTTATGTGGAACGCAACGTATCTCCATCTGAATTATAATTACACTGAAAGAACTAATTTTCAAATCGTGAATCCAACAGGAAACACAAATTGTTTTGATGTCATATCACTCAATGACTTTTCAAATATAGACATCTCAAACGCTAAAAATCACATTACTTCTGACATGTTTAAATATTCATACAATTTCACAGATGGGAAGGGGTATTTAATATCAAACAAAAAATTAATTAGATTTTGCCCAAATAATACATTACTCGACAATGAAGTCATTTGCACACTAAAAAAGGCTTATTACACATCAAGTTCATCAACAAATATGGAAGGTGCATTCGATTATCCACACTGTCCATGTAATGGTGATGGTAGTGTAAATTGTAAACTCAAATTTCAAAGTGGATATAATTTGTTCGACATGTTTTATAATATACTCAATAACACCGAATTATTAATTGAAAATGATGTAACAATACAACATTTGAATATTACAAAACAAGTCACTGTATATGATAACGTGATACTGACTATCAATTCAAAATTTACAAATTTGGTTTTTTTATTCACTTTTGGTAAAGTTGAGACAATTATTAAAGAAGATATTTACAAAGATGCTTCATTCAAATATACAACTTCATTAAATAAAGTAAAATGCATGGGTGAATTGAATTATATTTTTAATATACATAATAACATCACCAAATTACAAATTGATTGCACTGGAAATATACTATCACTTAATTTGTATGAAAACACAAACATTTTTATTTCACAAAACACCACTTTAAGTAAAATAAAACAAGTCTATTTTAGTGACAATGGAAAAAGTTATGTATTTTTGGATAATTCAAGTAAAAATAATGTGATTAGTAATTGTTATCTCGTTGAAGTAACCAAAACCAGTTTAACGTGTGTTATGTGTCATTCTGAATATCGACTTGTTAATGGTGTGTGTTCTGAACTTGATCAGAGCTGTGAGACATACAACAAAAACAATAAATGTGTTTTGTGTAAAAGTGGGTATGTTTTAAATGAACAATTTGAGTGTATTAGTTCAGAAATTTGTTTATATGGCACATCAACTAATTGTTACAAATGTCAAACCCGATACAATAGAACTGGCAATGGTTGTGTTCTTGATAACAAATGTCAATATAGTGATGGGAGTGTTTGCATCAATTGTCATTTTGGTGATTCATACAACAAATGTGAAAGTTGCACACCAAATTGTAATTTATGCACAAAGTTGAAATGCTCAATTTGCAACAATAATTATGTATTAAACAACGAAAGTGTTTGCGTTGAAGAGAAAAACGGGGTTTCAAATGGAATTTCGACTATTGGATGCAATAATCAGTTTTACATTGACAACAATGTTTGTAACGACTGTCCGTCAAAATTTGAACATTCTGTGGTGTGTGATAAAAGCGATGCAATTTCATGCGAAGTGAATTATTTGATTTTAGATGAAAGAAAATGCACTTCATTGATTTGTCAAAATGAAACATTCAACGAAGAGAACGGGATGTGTGTTTTAGAAAAATACAGTTGTGTGTCTATTGTAAACAATCGATGTGTCGAATGTGAAGACAATTATACACTTAACATCAACAAAACTTGTGTGGATATTACAAACAACGACGTATCAACTGGTTGTGTTGTGTATAGTATATTTGGGTGCATTTCGTGTGAAATTGGGTATTATCTATCAAATGTAGAATGTCACCAATGTTCAGAGAATTGCACAAGTTGTATTGAAAGTGGCACAAAGTGTCTATCATGTAAGTATGGTTTTTATCAAGGAGAGAATCACACGTGTTTGCCAAGCACTGAGCTGTTGGGAAAATGCGACAAAATATCAACAATCACGGGTGGGTGTTATCAATGCAAAGACGGTTATTACCGAGTTGGTATGGATTGTCTGGAGTGTCTTTTAAATTGCTCAACATGCAACACAAAAAATAAATGTTTGACATGTAATTTGACAAATTACAAGACACAGAGTGGGAAATGTTTGCCACAAATCAGTCTTGTTGGGTGTTCTGTTGAAGTCACACAAAATGGGTGTAACAAGTGTTTGGATGGGTATTACACAATCAATTACAACGAATGTGAAAGGTGTTATGACAACTGCACAACATGCACACAACACGATCAATGCACATCTTGTGTTGAAAACAGAATTTTATTTGAAAGTGGACTTTGTTTTGATATTTCATTTGTATCAAAATGTCTTGAAGCCTTAAATTCAAAATGTTCGAAATGCACATTTTGGTACATTCCAAATGAAAGTGGTACTTCGTGCACCAAAAAAGCGGTTTGGTGGGTACTTTTTATTATCGTTTTGTTTGTAATTGTTGTGTTGACAGGTTTGATATTATCAATTGTGTTTGTAGTGTTGTACATTGAAAAGAAAATGCGACACAAACAAATTGAACAGACAACAACGCTTTTCAAAATGTCTCATTCAAATATCACTTTTATATCACTTGGTAATGACGTTGTTGTCAACAAAACAGAAGTTTCATTTGGCAACGACATTGATGTCAATTTACAACAAAGAGAACTTCTGTGTATTGGAAATACATCAAAGCACAACATGAAGATTCAAATCACAACAAAAAGTGAGACAGTCGAGAAATACAAATTTGAAACAAATCCACAAATAATTGTACTTCCAAGTGGTGAGGCTTGTGAATTTGAAATTTTATTGACACTGAAATGCACAACCAAAGTTGATGATAATATTGTGTTGGTTGCAAATTTGTTTACAAACAAAAAAGGGGTGATTAAAGATATGATAATCACGGCAACATCAAAATTAACAACACGACTTGATCCAGACGAATTGAAAGAAGACGTGAAACTTGGTGAAGGCTCTTTTGGTGTTGTATTTAAAGGGGAGTTTAGAGGAAATGATGTTGCTATCAAAAAGATGAAAACATGTGAAAACAATGATTCTCAAAAAATTGAATTTGAAAATGAAGTTGATATGTTAGACAAGTTTCGAAGTGAATATATAGTCCACTTTTATGGAGCTGTGTTTATCCCCAATAAAGTGTGTATGGTCACTGAATTTGCACAATATGGAAGTTTACAAGACTTGATGAAACACAAAACAAGTGCAGAAATTGATATAAAGTTGCGAAAGAAATTCTTGCTTGACGGAGCGTTGGGGATATCATATTTGCACGAAAATGGTATTTTACACAGAGACATTAAACCAGACAATATACTTGTGTTTTCACTTGATTTGATTGAAAAGGTAAATTCAAAACTGACTGATTTTGGAAGTGCAAGAAATGTTAATATGTTGATGACTAATATGACTTTCACAAATGGTATTGGTACACCAAAGTATATGGCACCTGAAGTCTTGAACAAACAACATTACAAGAAACCGGCTGATGTATATTCATTTGCAATTACAATGTTGGAGTGCTTTTTGTGGAGTAATGCATATCCCAAAAGTATTTACATGTATCCATGGACTATAGCTGATGATGTTGCTTCTGGAAAAAGACCAAACACAATAAAAACACTTGAAGAGAAATATCAAAGTGTCATTGAAAAGTGTTGGAAACAAGAGACAGAGAAAAGGTGTACAATAAATGAAGCGATTAATGAACTAAAAACAATTGAGTAATTTTTTATTTATCATTCAATGTAAAGTGTAGCATTCATATAAAAATAGATATATACCAAAGCTTCCTCGACTTGATAAAAACAAAAAAATAATATAGAGTCAGTCTTTTAACGTTATCTGGTCTCAAACGTTATCTGGTGGACAAAAAATAGCTTCATTTTTGTCTAAACATCGGGCATTAGGTAAAGTGTGAAAAAACCCGAAACAATTGGGATGGATTTTTGGGACTGCTCCCCGAATTATTCCATTTTTTATGGTCCAAAAGGCACCAGATAACGTTTGAGACCAGATAACGTTAAAAGACTGACTGTACTTTTACGGATTATACTTTTTTCGGATCACCCCAGATCAAAATATGCCAAAAATAAAAAGTTAATCATCAATGTATTTATTCCACATATTATTGTATAAGTGTTAAGACGAGGAAAACTGTAAAAATTAGAATGTGTCACTTAAAACGTTGAATGGTGAAAGTTTTCAAAAAAAATATAATCTTTTTTAAAAAGTTGGTATAAAAAAGCTCATTTTTTAAGTAAATAAATACAAATAAAATTAAATTTGTTTGACATTGTTTTTTAGTTTGTTTTTCATTTTGTTCTTTAAAAATATACTTGTCTAAACCCCGAGTTAAGACCAAACAAAAAAAATAATAAAAAATAACCGTGAAAATATCAAATAACTTACTTTGTTACTAACAAATATATAGTTATTTGCTTGACTATATATTTGTTTTCGCTAATAGTATAATTGAATTTTTATCTTTTTTAAAAAAATGTTGTTGTTGAAAAAATATTTAAAAAATTATTAATTAATTAAAAAAACTTCGAAATTCAGGATTTTAATTTAAAAATAGTTACTTTGAAAAACTGGTAAAGATAAAAATTTTGGCAAACAGTTTGATTTATAAGACTTAAGAGAGGTTGATAGTTTATATGCATTTGAAATTCAAGTAAGTCGAAGGGGCTTCGAAGAAATGAATCCAACCGAAAACTGGCAAATGCTGGGATTGTCGCTTAAGCACTGTTATACAATTGGTTGAATGAAAGGGTCAAAAAAGTTGTCTTGTATATCTAGTGTTGTTAAAAAAAATTATTCGAAAACAATACAAATGTAAAAACGTTTGATTGTTTGATACTGTTTTTAGTTTTTTACAAAAAAAGTTTTGTTTAACCGAACAAACTTTTTGTTTTAAATAAAATAAAACCGTAAACTATTTAATAATTTTTGAATAAACAGTTTGATTTGGCAAAACTGTTTAATAAAATAACAAATGAAGAATTTACCAAACAATTGCCAACGATTTCAAATAGTATTAAATATTATATATTTAATTAATCATATATTCTGTCATTAAAATATACCTTATTTGACTCAAGAACTATATTTTAACTATCGGTCTTTTAATTCAAATATAAATGTATTTTAATTCTAAAAAATTATAAAATATAAAAAATTAATTAAAAATATCATAATGTAATACAATTAATCAATTATGATTGTTGTTATAAATAACAAACATTATAATTACAATATAGTGTGCGCAATCGCAAGAGGAAAAAATCCTAAAGTGGTAGAGAGACTCTTTTGTGGTGATAACGAAGTTGAGATTGCTCAAATTTCTTATTTTTACCGAAAATGGTAAAAAGAGACGAAATTCGTCTGTTTTCTGAAACGTGTACACAATTAAATATTTAAAAAACAGAAATTTCTTTTTCGAACCGAAAATGCAAATTTAAGAAAAATATTAAAAAATAACAGTTTTGTCAAATACGAACAATCGATAGTAAACTTTAAAAAACTTTAATCTTTAAATCAATACTAAACTGTTTTTTTCAAAAAACTAAAAAGTTTTAACAGACGGCAAAAAAACCAATTAGTGTAAACTAAAAAATAATTTAAAAATAAATAAAAATATTTGTTTATTTTCAATTATTATAATTTCAAAAAACAAAAATTGAATTTAAAAAAAACTATAAAAAATACATGCAAGAATTCAACAAAGAAGGTTCCTTTGTTTGGAATTATTTTGAAAAAGACTGTAAGACGTGTTCCGAACACCACAATTTTAACTCGAGATGTCAAAATTGTAAGGGAAAGGTAATATGCAAATTTTGTCACAAATGCCTCAGTTTTCAAGGAACAACGTCCTCAATGAGAACACACCTTTATTCACTTCACCCCGAAAACATTGATGAGAGTGACATCGACGATTTTGAAGTTTTGAAAAATTACTCTCCAAAAAGTGTCGAGCTCAACACACTATTTTTTATTTTTTCATAACAGGAAATATTTCTTTGCGACAAGTCACAAATCCATTCTTGGTTGAGTTGATCAAGCTCCTTGACCCCACTGTGAAGCTGTGTTGAACCACCACATTTAGAACTTCATTGCTAAACAAAGTCTACAACGACAAAATGAAAAGTTTTATTTCTGAAGTCAGAAAATAAACTGAGGGGAACTATGGTTGTGTTTCTACGGATATAATGTCCAAATTCGGGAACAGCTTCAATACAACCACATTGCATTATTTTGACAAGCAGTTCAACCCCAAAAACTCGATACTTGAAGTCAGTGTTTTCAACGAAAAACACACTGCTGACAACATCAAGAAGAAAAGCAAAGATGTGTTGGAGCAATTTGGGATCATAAACAACATTTATTACATCGTGTCTGATGGGTGTCGGAATAACAATGGACTGTCGGATGTTTGTGGAGAGAAATTAAATTGTGTTGTTCATGGGATTAACTTGATTTTTTCGGACTTAATTAAGAATATTCCAGAACTCAACAAAATTTTGAAAATGTTGAATAGGGTGTCGAAAACTTGTCAAGTATCATCTTCAACACGTGTTTTGTTAAAAAAGAAATGTGAAGAGAATAAGGAGAAGTATTGTTGTATTGCAACATTTTGCAAAACAAGATTCTACTCTTGTTGTAAATCTTTTGAAACGGCACTTCAAATGGAGAAGTCGATAAACGACACGCGTGGAACAAACCGGTTGACAGATGAAAATTGGCTAGAATTGAAAAAAAAACTTTCCATTTGTTAAATTGATGAATGATGCATACAATACTCTCTCCACCAACTCAACTCCAAATTCATGTTTTGTATTAGGAATTATAACAAAGATATGAGAAATGATCAGAAAACACCCAACACAAAAATGGAGTTAACATGATGATCGCCCATCTACCCAACTTCTTCGAATGATTTCTCCCGTTGCAACAGATCACACTACTTCACACTACCTCACATTCCTTCAACACAACCAGTCATCCACAGTCTTCATCTGTCAACCTCTCTTTCTCCTCTCACTTACCGACAGAATTATGCCACATTGCCATCTTATTCTCAATTAACAGTCGGTTTACAACAACCCCAACTTGCTCAAAACACATCACAACATTTTTCTAATAAATAGTGGACCATTTTACCAACACGAAACCAATAATACACAAGAGCTTCTTTTCGGAAAGGACTGAAGAAAATTGTTCGTAATGGGGTTTTTAAGAGGTTTGGAAAGATTCTTGACAATGATCATTTCAAAATTGCCTGTTTTCTATTTCCTCCTGAAAGAGACAAATACTTGAATTTAAGGGATAAGAACAAATTAAAAGAGTTGTTGAATCTAAGTTGGTTGGCTCTCGAGATTACTTTACCGCAAAGAGGAAACTTTCTATACAGTAAACAACGGATGAAAATGATCAACGAGTAAGAGAATTAAATGCCAAAGTTTCTGAAGTGACGAAAAAACTTGGAGAATATATGGAAGACAAAGGGACAGTTGATGATGAAACTGAATTGCATGAAAACCCCTTGACTTACTGGAAAAACAGCACTTTCACCCACTTGAAAGAATTGTCAAGAAAGTATTTGTCTGCACAATCTACAAGCATTGGTTCTGAAAGAGTTTTTAGCGTGATGGGAAATATTTTGACTGATGAGAGAAACAGAACAAATCCTCACACTGCTTCTAAAATCACCTTTTTGAAAATACAACTTGAAGTTAGTTAAATATTTTTTCTATTTAACATGTTATTATTTAAATTGAATTCAAATGATTCATATCATCGTACAGTTTATTTAAATATATTTCCTCGTTTTTGTTTTTAGGTTGATACTTGCTTAAAAACTTGACTTTAAAAACATTATATTCCTTTTATTTTAAAAGTTATTTTATATTTTTTGTGGTAAGAAAATGAAGTTTTTTGGATGTTTGTATAAAAAGATGAAGAAATCGGTATTTTTTCTTTTTGGTGATGGAAATGTTCCTGAAGTTAAAAATGCAGAAAAAATAATGAATACCTTTTTTATTCTTTTTGTTGTTGATCTTTAATTTTTTGTTCGAAATGGCATATCTCAAAAAGGAACTACAAGTTCTATGGAATTTGAGATTGCGATTATTGAAAAATATTGAACGGCTTACGCAAATGGAAATATTATGTAAAAACGGGCATTTTGGGCATTTGTGGTTTGCGATTGAGCACCCTATTACAATATTTAAAATTGAAATTATAAAAGTAAAAATTGTATACATTGGTTTGAAAAATATAAACAAGTAAAATATCAACGTTTTTATTGATCAATGGTTTCAAGCATTTGTCTCATGATATCCATTGTTAGGAAAGAGTTGATAAAAGTCAACATCTCAAGTTTTTTGGAAATAATCTATTCCTTCTGTCCCGATAATAGCACCCACTCTTTGAGAATAACCTTTCTGATGGAATGCTGACGCAAAGAATGGTAGTATATCGTAGTGCAACTTTTGCCAAGTCCGGCCACATTACCATCCTACTTCTCCAATATTAAGAATGCCTTTTTTGAATTCCCATCCAAGACCGGTTGAGATTCATATTCCGCCATTTAGATGCTCAATGCCGTTTTCTGGATGGACTTACGAACAAGAAATTTGCATATCTTCCCTCAAAAGACTGAACTGTTATAGCTTCAGTGTTGCTTGTGTCTTCAATTGATGTAAAATTTGTATATTCATTATGAT